GGGAAAGAGGGCCAAATCCATCACTGATGCAACTGCTTTAGAATCAGCAAAGTTTTCCAAAGGGTAAATAACCTTCCAGGCTCAGCTCTTTCCATGAACACTGTCTATATTAAAACCTTATGTATTTCTGGATAGCCCCAGCCTTGCCACGTGCCAGAGGTTCTGCTTTGCTGTGATACATGTCTTATTAGTAGCAAGGTGCAGTTACACTCCTAATTCCATATGGACATATATAAGATATGTCAACTTAGAAATGCATTTTTAACAAGTTTTCTGTCATTATCAGCAGTTTTTTTGGTTTGTTTTCAAATGAAGTTCTTCAGTTCCTTACAGTACTGCTCTCTGCACTAACCTTTTTTGTCACTGCAGGGTTAAGCAGTGAAGTGGAAATAGCACTGAAACAGTGCCATGATTAATTGTGGGCTTTCTCCTTTGCTCCTTATTTTAGGAGCAACATTCTCTTATGTAACGATGCCTTCATGAATACTAGGGAATGGGGCAAGAGTGTTTTCTTTCTAGCATCTTTCCTGCCTTTATCAACAAGTTATCTTAAAAAAAATGACTATGTCAGCAAATACACAACACACAATGCTGTGTCTGTGAATTACGAGCTGCTGCAAGATACAGAGGGGAATTAAAAGGTCTCCAGAATCCTGCAGAAGATGATAATAAAAATAATAATATCCAGGCGGTCGCTACAGAGAGGTATCAACCCCCTAGACCTTCCCTAGAGGGACGATATAAAGTTGTGGTTTTAAAAGGTGTTAGTATCCATTGCTGTCAGGACCAAGCACAAGGTGAGGTACAGCTCAGTGCAAAATCCATTCTTTTTGTGAAGTAAGATCACGAGAAAGGTCATCCCAAACTGAAGCCTCAAATAAGCTGTAAAAGAAACCATCACACTCCCATCCCGATCACTGACAAGCTCTCTTTTTCAGGTGACAGCCTGCAGCATCACCCAAACCCACACACCCAGCACCATGTCAGACACCCCCAAAATCTTTCAGTCTTGCTCCAAGCTCACAAGACACCCGATAAATGATGGAGAGGCTTTGCTTTGCAGGTGCTTGCAGGCACCATCACTTTAT